TTTTTGCAGTGTAAAAACTTTTCAAATTATATCTATAAAAATAAACGCTTTCTCAAGCTTGCTTTGTAGTTAATGGCGCTTTTCAAAGCATACGTATAAAGCTGAACCAATGAATTTTTCAAAGCACAGCTTAAAGCAAGTAAAGCTCAAAAACAGCTGCTACTAAATACATACATACGTAAATATTTATGTACGCATGTGTATATATTTACAAAAGTTAAGGAGTGATGACAAACAAAAGCTGCAAATCACTACCAACTAGCCTATGGACAGATGCGATCGCAAGCTATCTGCTTGACTATTAGCTGCTTGTTTGATCAGCGACAGTGGTTACACGCGTACTACCAGCTTTATTTACAAAACGCACTCCCTGCTCTTTAAACAAAACCTGTTTGGCAATAAAAGCTTCCACTTTCAATTGGAATGAGGTAAGACATGCGATCTTTTAAATCTCAGCGAACACATTTGAGCGAAAAGGCAAGGCGAACGGTTGGACTTCGCAAAATTGAGCGGCGCAAAAAAATAAATCAATTGCAATCAAAAAGCAAAATTATTATACAACAAAGCTTAATAAAGGAAAAAGAAAAAAATCCAAAAGATAATACCAAGAAATAAGTTACATATTCCAGCGACAAGTAAAGGCACGAGAAATAACGAAAAAAGAAAACGAAAATAAAAATAAAATCACAAAAAAAAAATAATAATAATTGCAAAACTGGAATTTTGAATTATAAAATGTCTAGATAAAATTTATTTAAATTGCAAATTGTGGACAGTGAGTGGCAACTGCTAAACGTACAAAAAAAAATAAAAACGAAAAACATTGGTTTTATTTTTTTAATTTGTGTTTGAGAAAAATTAAAATAAAAAAATTAATCGGTGAATTATGCGTGCAAAGTTAAGTGGCATAATTACGTTACAAAGCTGCGATAACAATACAAAAACAAAAATTTAATAATACAAACAAAAACCCAGCCGAGGAGGGGAAGAAAGAAACTAAGAAATCCAACTGTTGGCGCTGTGTTGCGCGAGCCAGTGTGCGTGTGCGTGTGCCTCTGTCTGCTGCGTGTGCCATTATTACGTTCGCGCCCAAGTAAGCTATCATTGCAACAACAAAAACAACAGTAATGAAAATTACACCAATAATGCGATTAACTATGTAGAGCGAGTTGCGCAAGTGCTAATTGCGGGTAAAAAATGGAAAGAAGAGCGAAAACGAAAGAGATAAAAGTAAATAAGTAGCATACGAAAATCAGCAAAGCCATAAACAAAAAGGAAGCCATAAAGAAAAGTACCAAAATAAAAAATCGCAAACAAAGAAATCGGCACAAAATAAAAAAATTATTCATAATTTGAGACGAAGGACGAAGGAAGCAATACTTCTCACGCACACTGCCGTCTACTAGCCAGCGCAAGTAGTATCCGACGCATGCGCCTAGTCACATACAAATCAGCCAAAAGCAGATCTCCGCCAAGCAGCAACAACAAATGCATTGCGTATTGGATAGATTTAACGGACGACGCCAACAAAAATATACTTTCTTGTTACACCATTTGACACCCATTACATAATCTTTACTAACCGTCAACGTCCTTGCCTGCGTCGTCTGCCTATCTACAAGCTGTACATATACATAAGTAACAACACTCCACCTTAAAACAAAACAAACAAAAAAAAAACACCGCCAAAGCAATTTAAGGCATACGAAATTTAATAAAGCGAACATAGAAAAGATAGGCGTGGAAGAAAAGCATAGCCAGAGGCATTAGGAACTGATACCAAATCAAGGATTCTACTTCCAGATAAAGCAAAAATTTAAGGCGAGCGTGTGGTGGATGGAAAACGAGAAAATGTCGTCGTTCTATTCGAGTTCAACTAAGGTAAGTGGTAAAACCGAGAACTTACATATATATATATATTTCAATCTGTATATTCATATAAAGTAAATACATACTTTATGTTTAATAGCATTTAATTTTATAGTTGCAATTATGTTTATTTCGAAAAATAACAGCATTTAATTGAGCCTCCAAAGTGGATTAAAAACTTATTTGCGTTAACGCTGATAACCTCCGCTGATAACTTTCGCTGATCTCTAGTGTCTTATCAATTGTCTAGATGCCAAATTTTGACACGATTCTACAATGTATGTGAATAAGTATTTGCCTGTACTGCAACCCAGCCAGCAATTTCAGTCATTAGCGACTCAAAATTATGTCTTCGTGGCGCGCAACTAATTGCGAAAGAAAAGAAGTGATTAAAAATCCTATCGTATATAGAAACACAGCCTCTAGTGATTTGCATACTTCTTATGTTTTTCTAAAAAGAGTCAGAAAAGGTTCGCTTTTCCATCGCGGCCATGAATTGTTCTCAAGCATTATTCTAAGCGAATCACTAATGACTGAGCTGAAAAAATTTTGCAAGGCAATTCCGGAATTTTTTTTTTGCCGAACCTAACAGGTAACCTTTTTAAATTTTTCGGTGACACTAATATTCGACAATCGATTTTTTTTTAAGTAGTTCCACTAAATAATCGTAATACTTCCTTAGCCAAAGTTTACTGAGTTTTTTACGAGTTTAGGGTGGTATGGTTGTGTAATAGGTATATAGAACGGGAATTTTGAAATAAAAAAATATTTCCTCGAACCAAGGACATCGATATTTCATACGATATTTCATATTTATGTGTATGCAGTATGTATTGTACATATATACAGTTGCGAGTAAAATAATACTTAGTACTAAAACCCAAAATTATGCTGCTGGTAACTTATGTTTGTTTATTTATTGTTAATAATTTTCATTTAAAACATGGGTCGATTTGTATCAGAAACCGCATAAATAGAAGTTTTAAAGCTTGCACATAGTTAACAAAAACTACTTAAACTAAAACTAAACTAAAATTGAATGGGCTACAAAACTGCATACCAAAAATCTATCTAAGAAATCTAATTTAAAAAATCGAAATTTTGTTGAACACTTTATTAACTTTAAATAATTTTTGTGAACTTTGCGCAAGCTTTGAAACTTTTATTTATGCGCTTTCTGATACACAACGCATTTTAAACGAAAATCTTGTCTTGAGGTGTGTTGTTACGCGTTACTCCATCGATACAAAAAAAAAGGAACAGTCCAGCGCTTCCTTTGTGGTCTGCAGGCTGTATCGGAGACACAGCCGCTAAATTTAAACGTAGAATGGAACGTAGCACATCCCCACGCCAAAAACGAAAACACATACTAAGAAAAAAATATCGATAACAAAAGCGATAACAAAATCGATAAAAATGTCGATAACAAAATCGATAAAAATATCGATAACAAACTCGATAATAATATCGATAGCAAAAGCAAAAAAATTTATAAAAATATCGATAACAAAATAGATAAAAATGTCGATAACAAAACAGACAAAATATCGATTATTATATAGATAAGTCCCGAGAATTCTGAAGATCTCTAAAATCCCGAAATAGTCCCCACATTGAGTCTCTGTCTATATCCTTTTCTCTACAATTACCTTTGTTTTAATAATTTTCCTCCATCTTCTTCTTTACTTCTATCGGTATCCTCATGCTTATATTTTTGTTTATATTTATCTTTGTTTTCACTTTTATGTTTATCATATCATATTCTTCATCTACATATTCCCCTTCACGTTTGCCTTTTATAAATATTGCGCCATCTGTCATTAAAACGCCGAAATTCCTACACACATATACTTTTTGTCCCCTTCTCTCACTTCCAAAGGAAAAATCATCAAGCGGTTTTTGGGCATTTTTGTAATAAAAAAATTTGCTAGGTTTTACAACAATTTTTTCCCTTAAAATGCTCAATATTTGTTGAATTTATATACAATTTGTACACGATAATATTTCCATTGCTCCAAGGAACCTATATCCTGAAAATGAAAGTTACTTACAAAAATGTATCTGTCGATAGGTGTGGAATTTTGTCTTTGAAACGCCACACCTTTCTTTGAAATCGCTTCAGTAGTTCTCGTGCTATAAGCGCTTTCGTGAAGCTCTACAAATTACAACTACAACATTTCAGTATAGCCTCAATAACGAAACGTAAAACGTAGTCTACGTCAAAAATATATTTTTTTATCCTTTCCCTTTTTAAAAGACGTTGCTTTGAACTTTGGAACCCCTCTACGAGCGCTCCGAAAAGCTCTTTCGAGGCGTTGCTATGGTACTTCCTTTTCACTTCATGTTAAACATTTTTCTGAACAGCATGGTAACTTTTTACCCTGTATGGAATTTTTTTCCACCTTAAGAGCTATATTGGAGTGTACTAAAAATGTTTATTAATTTCCTTTAAAAAAAGATTTGTCAAAATGTTGATTTAATTACTTATTTTGATTGTTTTGTTCGCAGAAGCCCCATGAAACTGAAAAGCATATGAAAAATTCCAAATTAAAAAGTGGCTTTATTTTTTTTTTAATTCCACCAGCTTGCTATATTCATGGCGCAATAAACAGGTGAAGTTTACACACAGCTGTCATTCGGCTATGTTATACAAAATTTTATTGTCAAATTTTCAAATAAGATGGTGTCAAATCGATAAAAAAAAAATCAGCTAAAGGGAGTGATTCCGATTCTAGTCTATATACTTCTTTCCCATTTAGGACGTGGAGCCATTAAGTCTTTGTAACCCCACACTTTTCCTGCTTTTAGCTGTGTCCGAGGGTTTTATGTGCAACAACTTTTTATAACAAAAGTTTATCTCATAATTTCTCATCTACTGGAATAGAGAAAACAATTTGTTAGAAACCCTATTATTCCGTTGGCCAACAGCTCAAACATGGTGCGCATTTATTTGTGGTTATTCAAATTTTTACTAGTTATTTGGTGATACCCCACATCGAAAGCGGCTTACAGACATACATATGTATCAACACACAAGTACCTGCGATTGTGCATTGTAAATATGCAAGTACAATTCTTTATTCTAAAGTAGACGTTCGTAGGTATACACTTTTTTTTTTAGCATAGCACTCGCATCAATGATAATTTTATGCTGCAACATTGTTGTACAAGGAAGAGTCGTCGACTATTAGAAAGCAAAATTCGTTGCATTCATTTCACAGAAATTGACTATTTACAAAGTAAATCAGGAAAGCCAGCGAGTGAATGGCTCGGATGTAGTGCAGAGCGAAAATTCTGTTAATGACAAAAAAGGTGATCGGTGGAAAATAGAAATTGTGTGTACAAAATAGTTTATTTATTTTTATACAAGTGATGAAAACTTACACATTTGCCTTACAAGCATACATACATACATACATACATACTTGTACATGTGCATGTAAGAAGTTTCGCAAGCATAAATATGTACACATGTATGTTCATGAAGATGAGCAGCTATCAGAATGATACATACAGACATAACTTGACTGAAGTTGGCGGCAGATGGAAAACTATTTTTAATTATTGCCAACTTTCAGCCCACTAAATACCATTGCAACAGGCCACATAGCGTTGGCTGCCACACTCCGGTAGGCAGCTGTAATTTATGTACCTACATACATACATATGTATGTGCGTATGTATGCGTTATGCGTTAAGTTGCCTTGTTGACTGCAATGAGCATTGTAATGAAGCATAATAATAGCGAGTGCATTAGTAAACGGGCAACAACAGAACAAAGATTCTAACAATTAGCGAATTCTGCGAAATGACATTTTCACTTTGCTGCCATTGCAGCGATGTTGCTGTTGAGGGGGGGATTGTGGTGGCGTATGTAGCACTGTAGCCTGTACTGATGCTGACAGAAAGCGGCTACATTCCTCATCTTATAATGCATGTGTTTTTGCGCTGCTTACTGTTGCATTGCACTGCCAATGCGACACTTCGCAGACCTACTTAGGATATTCTCGTTTCTCAAAGTACAAAGGCGCAGAAAAACTTGAATTGGCCATTTGTGATTGATTTGCTGATGATCGTCATGATTTGCTGATTGAAAGTATGCAACTGCGTGCCCCTCTGCAGCAACTTTAGCTGCAGCTGGGAGCTATTTCTGGAACATACTCTTACTACAACATTACTTGTGGCGCGGTGCGGTGCGGTGCACAAATGCCTAAACGGTCTGACACTCGGTCGTCAATGTCACCACCGATCGCGCCTTTTGCCACTAACTACTATGTATGTAAGTGCACACGCGATGGACCTTCTATCGCTTGCATTTTCGTTTTTTTATTTTTTTTGTTGTGCTTTCTATTGTTTGTGTTACTTTTCTAATTCTATGCTGCGATCGCTAGAAACTACAAGTTCGTCTGCTCGTTTTGATGGTGTCAGCTATATGTGGTCCATGTACAAGTACAAGTCAGCCGCTTTTGTGGCATTGGATGTCGACGGCTTTTTTGTTGGCAGGCAGTTCATCGGTGACAGTGGTGGCAGTAATGGAGGTGGTGGCGGTGATGGCGGCAGGCGGCTGCATTATGGGGTGAAAATCGCTCATTATGGAAGTAATAAAATAAATACTGTCAGTAATTATGAATGTGTGTGTGTGTGTGTGTGTGCGTGCGTGGTTGTATGCACGCGCATTTAAACGTACTTAGCGCCGCCAATGCGGAGAAATGTTATGGAATGCGAATAAAGATGAAAAAAAAACATTGACACAAATACTTAACAGTTCTTAGGTGGCAATACCGAGCTTTAAAAAAAACAGATCGTGGTATTTGTGTACAAAACTCTGCTGTGCAATAGAGGCAAAGACAAGCATACATACATATATGAATGTATATATATGTATGTACCTTTAGAGCGGCCGCTGGGGTGTAGTGGTTAGCAGTGCGCGAAACCACTCCGTAGGGCCTGGGTTCAAGCCCTGGTCAAAGCAACAGGAAAGAAAGGAGAAAAAAAATTGGTGTAGAACTTTC